GATCGCGCGCGCCCGTGTCCGCGACGTTCCCATCGTCGCGTCGTCTGCTCGCGCGAGCATTCGGTTCGGTATCGGTTCGGGTTCGGTTCGCGAACCGCCCGCGGTAGCGTCCGATTCCGGTCCGATCGAACTCCGACGCGTCGCGAGTTCGTTGGCCTTGGCAGTCGATTCGCGCGCGTTTGCTTTCGTTCTCCTCGATCCATGGGTTCTCGTCCGTTGTTTACGACCGCGGTAGCCTTGCGACCAAACTATTTTTACGCGCAACCGTTCACCGAGCCGCGCCGCGCCCTGCCCTGCCCCGCCTCTCGTCGCTATTTTCAACGCCGTTTCTTCACCGTCGATCACCGGATTCTACTCCGCGACGATCGTAAGACGGAGCAGAGAACGATTTTCCGTAAACGCGCGCGCGGCGACGTATTTCCGCGCGCGGTCCTATCGCGTTCGCGCGCCGCAACGCCGCGTATCCAGGCGTCGAACCGCCTTTTCCTCGATTCGCGAACAATGGACGCATTGTTTTCCACGAGTATTTATTCCTGCCTCCGTTCCACGCGCGTTTTCTTCCGTTCTTCTCCGCACCGCCGCGCCCTGCCCCGCCCGATCGCACCCGCACCCGCACCCTCGTCGCGCGGACGTTGCTATTTTGCCCGGTAACGCTTCGCCGGATAATTGGACGACCGATCGCACGGGTGTTTCGGTACGCGATATCGTCCCGTGCCGGACGGTTTCGCGCGATCGTGGAAAACTAACCGCCTCCGCGCGACTCGTATAAATCGTAAAAATCGTAAAGAGGAGAAAGGAGAACGAGAAGCAGGGACCGAGGGAGATCCTATCGGTTTCCTCGATACGGTCGCGGTCGTGGTTGCGGTCGTGGTCGAGACTAGACTGGACTAGAAGGACCGGATCTGCCGCGAATCGCGAAGACAGCCGTTGCAACGAATGTAGCAAAAACGGCGGCGACGGCGGCGGCAGGTAGAAGTTAGAAGGTAGAAGGTAAAAGGTATCCGGGTAGTCGAGCAACGACAGCGGGCCGGCAGCATCCAGCGCGATCAATACGCGGTGCGAGCTTCTGCGTGCCCCAACTACGTGGAAATACGGTAACGACTACTACGATCGTCACCCGGCGAGCAAGACGATGACACGGCTACTACGTCCGCGACGAGGACAGCCTACGTACGATACCCCGACGACCACGCCATAACTGCCTGGTGCCGTGCCTCGGGCCGGACAGCGCGAGCAAAAGCGAGAGAGAGAGAGAGAGAGAGTGAGCGGGGGAACTACGGTCGGAGGGAAGAACGGGGGCCAGGGAGCAGGGACACGGGCCGCGACGAGGCGTGGGTGGGGCAAGAGGGGTTGGAGCGGCGGTGGCGGCGGAGGCAGAGGAGGCAGAGGACGTTGCCTGGCGACGGAAGCTGCCTACCGCCAGAGTTCATCGTCCTCCGGTTCGCTTCTTTTCCCTTCTATCGAACCATTCACCCTCCGTTCTCCGTTCATCCTTTTTCATTCTCCGCCCTCCACCGCCCACCCCCTTCGCCTCGGTCACCGCCACCGCCTCCGCCTCCACCTTCGCCTTCGCCTTCTCTTTCTCGCGCGACTTCGTCTCGTTCCCGCTCTTTCTATTTTTTCAGTCGCTCTCTGCCCACGGCCCGTCTCTCCAACCCCACGCTTCTCCCCTCCTTTCTCGAGGCGCTGCTCCACCGCTCCCCGATTTTCTTCCTTCCTCTCTCTCTTTTTCTCTCTTTTTCTCTTTTTTTCTCTCTTTCGATTCCGTTTTCTTGTTTACGCGTCGCTCTTTCCTCGGTCTCGCCTTCTCGCCGCTTCGTTCGTTTCGTCTTTTCCCTCTCTCTCTCTCTCTCTCTCTCTCTCTCTCTCTCGCTTTCTCTTTCGTTCGTCCGTCGCGATTTCCAATCCCTCCTTCGAATCGTACCGAATCGATCGTAGGTTCGGCTACGACGCGCGTCTTCGGACATTTTCGTCGCCTCCCCCCTCCCCGCCCTTCACCGGGGGAAACTTTTCGCTCGTTCGAGAGACGGCGAGAGCTTCGGGTTCTCGATCTCGTACAGAGGCGGGCGGACGCGCTCGCGCGCGCGCTTACCTTTAATTCGAGCGGAATCGCGAACAGAGGGCAGCTGCCCCGGCGGAGTCGGTTTTACTCTCCGCCCGCTACAGCCGTCCACCACCGCTCGACTTTTCATCTCTTCGAATTGATTCGATACACGCGCGTCTCGCCGGTATTCCCGCTCTCGCTCTGCCTCGGCTCGGCACACACGGCTGGACTCGGCTCGANCGCTTTCTCTTTCGTTCGTCCGTCGCGATTTCCAATCCCTCCTTCGAATCGTACCGAATCGATCGTAGGTTCGGCTACGACGCGCGTCTTCGGACATTTTCGTCGCCTCCCCCCTCCCCGCCCTTCACCGGGGGAAACTTTTCGCTCGTTCGAGAGACGGCGAGAGCTTCGGGTTCTCGATCTCGTACAGAGGCGGGCGGACGCGCTCGCGCGCGCGCTTACCTTTAATTCGAGCGGAATCGCGAACAGAGGGCAGCTGCCCCGGCGGAGTCGGTTTTACTCTCCGCCCGCTACAGCCGTCCACCACCGCTCGACTTTTCATCTCTTCGAATTGATTCGATACACGCGCGTCTCGCCGGTATTCCCGCTCTCGCTCTGCCTCGGCTCGGCACACACGGCTGGACTCGGCTCGAATCGGATCGGCTCGGCTCCGGTCTCTTCCATGCCCGTTTACCCCTGTACCCGCCGCCGCCGCCGCCGTACCCTCTGCTACCGTCTCTAGCCGCTACCACCCTACCCTACGGTGATTACGCTCCTCGTTGGAAGCGGTCGACGTCGAGGTTTCAACGATCGATCGAGACGCGATGCGCGACCTCGTCGGCGCTATCGACGAGGCCGTGGACCCGCGAATCGATCGATACCGAGACCGGTTCGTCGATCGTACACACCGCAGGACGTTTATCGCGTATTCGCAACGTCTGGATCCGGAACGTGGACATCGGGTCGACAAACCCTTTCCTTCGATAACGAAAACGTACGAGCAACAACGCGCGCGCGCATGCTTCGCGCGATCGCGGACACCGACCTCGTTACCCCAACGATGCCTCGAGGAAGATCGGCCGGCTATCGCGGACTCGCGAACTCGGCGAGAATGCTCGATCCAGGATCGAGCAACGTCGGGAACAACCCCGGCGAATCTCGAGGGAGGAATCTCTCGGACCGGACGCCGCGTCGTATCGGATTCGATTTTTCGCGCTCCGGCCGGTTTCGATACGGCTTCGACGCGTCCCACACCCGTCTCTCCCTTTTTCTCTTCTCGTCCTTTCCCTCCTTCCGCGTTCGCTTTTCGTCGATCGTCGCGGTTGCTGGATCGTAAGAAACCCCAAGAAAATCGAAGAATCGCAATTTGCCAGGGCTGTTCGAAACCTCTTCTCCTTCTCGCCGTTTACGATAGTTTCTTCCGAATCGACTCTCGGCTCGGAAACGAAGCTGGACAATTCGAGTAAAGTAGGTACGATCGTTCGAGCCTCGCGCGGCTCGTTTTTACGGTCGTCGACGATCGGTAACTGTAAAAGCGAGCCGCGACCGTATCTCCTCTTCCCAAATTGTCCGTTTCCGTGTTGTACGAGCCGAGGGTCGCTCGGGGAGAATTTACAACGACGTCTTCGTCGGGATCCGACTCGCGATGCAACGATCTTTCCGTGCGGTTGATTCCGGTTGATTTCTATAAAGCTATGCCGCGCGCGCCGCGCCGTCGCGTTGTCCCACTTGTCGATCGTTGTCGGTGCAGGGAATGCTTCTATTCCCGACTGTCTCGAACGAAACGTATCGCGAGCGCGAGACTTTCCATTAATTTTTCAAAAGAACAAGTCCGATGGGCGAACAAAATTCTCGACGAAAATGCGAGACGAAGAAAAATTAGTCCCGATCGATCGCGCAACGGACGCAGTTTCGGTGGATACTTTGGCGTTTCGAGGTTCGAAAGCCGCGCGTCCGTGTCCGTGTCCGTATCCGTATCCGCGCGACGGAATTTCGAGGCGGTAGAAATTCGTATACCGCGCGCACGGACGTCGAACGGATGGCAACCGCGAGGATCGGTAACTTTCTTATTATTATCCGCTTCGGTGAAATCTAGGCAGTACCCATTGACACTGTTCCAACATCGCTATTGTAAACTATCGCGTATCCTCGAGAAAGTGGAATGCCACGTCCGCGTTCCCCGTAGCTTCGACGACTCGCGTCTCGCGTCTCGCGGTAGAGCCTCCGCAGCCCCCGTTCCGCATCGACGCGTCTCTCTCGGTCGGGGAAATGGATCGGCGGAGGCTCGATTAATTTACGAGCGGTGATTTCGATCGGAGTCGGGCCAACCCTTCGCTGGCTCTCGGCACACGGCACGCGGCAGCTCGGTGCTCCAGTTTTTGGCTCCGTTCGGCCGTCGTTTCTAGAGGATACGCGCGCAACCCCCCATCCCTCCTAACATTTGTCCGGTTTCGCGGACGATCCGTTGGCTTTGGCTTACGATTTTTACGCGCGAAATCCTCGCAGTCGTAGGTACAGGTATCCGTTATCGATATCGCCGCAACTCGATCCACCTGCGACGGACACCGGATATCTTTATCGACTCGCGTCGCGACGCGTTCGCTGCGCGGCATTGCGAGAGAGCTCTGCCGAATCGGACGGTGGACGCGTTCGTTCGCGCGTCGCGTCGAGAAAAATTGAAAGATTCGTGTCGCGGTCCGAACCGCAAATTCGAGCGAAGCGGAAAGCTCTCGACGCGCGAACGACGGTTTCGAATCGAATGCCGCGGCCGATATATTATATTTCGTCGCGGTGCACGCGCGCGACCTTCCGATCGAGCCGTCCGGCCGACGAAACGAGAGACGAAAATCTGCGCGTTTCGTCTCTCTCTCTCTCTCTCTCTCTCTCTCTCTCTCTCTCGTTTCGTCGCGATCTCGAAACATCGAAAACGTGGATTTGTGTTCCGTTGTTGTTGCAGAACGTCGACCACAAGGTGAAGTTCCGTTCGAAGAAGGGAGGACTGCTGCCGTTCGTCGAGCTGAACGGCGAGGAGATCGCGGACAGCACGATCATAGTGCGCGATTTGAGTCAAAAGTTCGACAAGGATCTCGACGCCGGACTGACGGCCGAGCAACGAAGCGTCTCGCACGCGATGATATCGATGATCGAGAACCACCTGGCTTGGGTGGTGACGTACTGGCGCACCAAGAATCTCGATCAGGTGTTGAAGGGTTACAAAATGAATCTCCAGCACATGGTCGGCACCCGCATCCCGAACGGCATCCTCGCCATTTTCTTCAAGTACACGTTCGTTCGCAGGGTAAACTTCGGAATCATCGTATTCCTCGATTCTCGAGAATAGTTCGTTGAAACGCGCGTCGAACGCATGTTGTGTATTTTGCTAAATAGATACGTAAACGTAAACTCGAACCGAGACCGAAACCGAAATTCAAACTGAAACTGAAAAGCGAAAGAAACGCGTCGAGTGGACTCTGCGCGGTGAAATCTAATGGGATTTATTTCAGAGCGCGAAAAAGGTAAAGGCCCAGGGGATGGGCGTCCATACTCCCGAAGAAGTGTCCCAGTTCGGTTGCGCCGATCTCAAGGTTCTCTCCGACATGCTGGCCGACAAACCGTTCTTCTTCGGAGACGACCCGACCACGGTAGGTATAGTCGACGCGCGTCGAAACTCGGACGCTTGCCTCGCGAATTCGCGAAATCGTGAAATCGTGAAATCGTGAAATCACTCGTGGCCTTGCCATGTTCTTTCAATGTTCCCAGTTGGACGTGGTAGGATTCGCGCATCTCGCCCAGATTCTCTACATCGACAAGGACACGCCGTACAGCCTGCGCGACTACATGCAGGAGAACTGCCCGAACTTGGTCGGCCACTGTTCGCGCATGAAGGAGCGATGCTTTCCGGATTGGGACGAGATCTGCTCCACCCTGGACATGAACACGCACCTTCCGAAGCCGGAGAAGCAGGAGGAGAAGGAGGGCAAAGAAGAGCCGAAAGAGACCAAGGAGTCCAAGGAGGAGAAGGAGGGCGACAAGGAGAAAGCGGACAAGGAGGAGAAGGAGATGGAGAAGGACAAGGAGCTCGACGAGAACAAAGAAAAGGAGAAGGAAGGGAAGTAAGCTGCCTAGGACCGATGCTGAGCAAAAATATGTTCGAAACAGCAAGATATTACCGTGAAAAATAGAGAGAGAGAGAGAGAGAGAGTGTGTGTGATCTTAACGTGCGACGTGGCGAGGAGAAGGATGCGACGCGAAGAGAGATTGTTCGTCTATTCGTTTGTTTGTTTGTTCGTTCGATCGTTCGTTCGTTTGCTCGTTTGCTCGCTTGCTTTCGCGCGCGCGTCTGTCCGTTCAACCGACTTACTTGCGCGACTCTGCATAAATACCCGACGAGAGAACGAGCGAGCGAGCGAGCAAAAGAGAAAGAGAGGGGGGAGAGAGAGCGTGTGCGAAAAAAGAGGCAAAGAACGGCACGAACGAGATTAAGAGGAACGGACGAGAGAATGCGCGAAAGGAATAGATCCGAGTACGAAGAAACGAGAGGAGAATTCAAGTCTAGAGCTCTCTACTTATACGTATAGATATTAGTAGACTCGTAATGTTAAATATTTCGTTTGTACGCGTTTAACGCGCGTTACGCCATTTCTCATCGACACCCCGGCACATCCGAGTACCGAAAAATCGTATTTCCGACCCAGGGCCCATTTTCCTCCTCTCGCTCCTGCTCCTTCCCCTGCTCCTCCACCTCCTCCTAACCCTAACCCTGCCCTATCCTATCCTATCCCGATCCTCCCGTCCCGCGACGTCGAACGATTTCGAAAGAGAAAAATGGAAACGGAACGGGACTATCTCATAAGTCATTAGAATCGTAGGTTTGCAATATATCAAATGCAATAGCCTGGCAAAGGTGTGAGATTTGTAAGAGAACAGTGGCCAAACGCGGATCTGTACGTTGCAAGATGTGCGCGTATAATAATTTAAACAATGATAGAGAAAGGGAGAGAGAGAGAGAAACGCGTAGGGAAGTGGACAAGTGAAAAAGTGGAGAAGCGGAGAAGCGGAGAAGAGAATAGAGTAGAAAGGACAAAGGCGGGGAGCGGGATCGTTTATGGTTGCGATTACGTAACGAATAACGGATAAGAAGTAACGAATAACGCCCTTCGTCCCCGACGTTTGGGGGAAGGGAGAAAAGCGTGTCTCGCGATCGCTTCTATCATTGGCTCTCTCACTGTGCAACACACGAGTTACGTACCTAGCGTTCCAAGCAACGTACCGTATATCACATTATGATGATCTTCGTTTAGTCGTGCTTTCCGTTGGTCGTGTTCCGGCGTTTCGTATCGGCCATTCGACGGAAACCGATCCGAGTCGATACGATACGAGTCCCAGTACCTCGCGCGATCGCGAGATCGTACGATCGCACGATCGCCCGCGCACGCATCTACACGTAGACTTTACGCATTCCTTTTCGATTCGTTGGTGCTCGATCGTAACACGTATTCGGTTCGATCGCTGCTCGCGACGGCGGTTGCCGGACATATTTCGGGGGTTCACGATTCTCGACTCTCGATCGATGCATCCATCCGATCAAGGAAACCCGACGCACGCGATGCGAAACAACGATCGCCGTTTTTTCCTTTTCCGTATTCTCCTAATTTCCCGAATTTTCTACGTTTTGTAATTTTCCTATTTCTCGTATTTCTCGTATTTCTCGTACAGGCTACTGGGCCACTCCGTATATTATATATACGTGTATGTATTTTGACTCGGCTACTCGCGTCGAGTTTCATTCCCACGCGTACCGCCCTTCGGGTACACCGTTTTTACAATTTATTGACAACGTCCCGACGAGCGAAGACTCATTTGCGATTACGGATCGACGGCAAATATTATACGATACGATCATTTGTATATTATTATAGATATTTTCTATTACGTACACGCGAGGATGCGATCCGAGAGTAAAGAGAGGTCGCGTTGCCGCTCTGCGGCCGTGTCACGGTCCTCGAACGGTCCTCGAACGGTCCTCGAACGGTCCTCGAACGGGCGACACCGACGAGCCCGCGCGAGCAAAGCCCCCCCTTTCCCCGGGGCTCTGCCGTCTTTGTTTCTTCCGTTTCTTTCCCGCGGACTAAACGACAAAAAAGAACAAAAAAAGAAGAAGAAAACAAAGAAACAAGGAAGGAGACGCAGGCAAACTTTTTGATTTCCTCCGTCTGGGGGTACTCTTTCCGTTCGAGCGTGACGTTCGAACGAATGCGACGAAGAAAAAGGAAAGAAAGAATAATAAACGACGAACGCTGTGCTGCCCCGTGGTTGGTTCAATATTATTAGTCGACATTTTCCTCGAACGTGTGAGAAATTTTACATTACGTAATTATACAAAGTGTCTTTCACGCATCGAAAAAAAGAATGAAATGAAATGAAATGAAATGAAATGAAAAATGAAACACGGTCATTTTGATGTATAATGTTATCGAACGGGAATTGAAGTTTTTTGTACTAAAGGCCGCTACGTCGTAGCGGTCGCCAAATATTCCACGAAGACACGAGGATTATCTATTGTATTTAAGTAGCTTACTATTATTAACGACGATATTACGATTATTCCGTAAAAGAAAAGAAAACGATGAAAAATGTATGAAAAAAGTAACGATTAGCGTGTGTGGAGCTGTTTATACTTAGGACAACGCATACATTTAACATCCCGTGGTTACATTATATTATTATGGATTATTACGAAATAACGAGTAAATAATATTAAATTAGCGGCGACACAGAAAGGAAAACAGTGTTGGACAAGACCGTAAACGTTGCAAGCACAGTAGGTAGGCACACATCCGGTACGGTAAGAATATTATAAGAAAAATAATAATAAAATATTAATAATATAACGATAATTATTATTATTGTAATAATGATAATTATTAATTAATTATAATAATAATAATAATAGTAATAATATAATTATAATAATAATACGACTGCTCGTTTTATGCTCGGCGCTATACATTTCATTGTCATTATTATTATATCACCATTTATTAACGATATACATACGAACAAATAAAATGTGTTTATAATTATAACGCGAGGTTAGCGAAATTTCTAGATCGTATTTTTTCAGGTATCGTTACGCGTACGTACCGCGATCGAATTCTAAACGCGTTCGTCGACCCGCGACTTCGTTTTCGAAGGTAGGTATCGCGGATGCGGATGCGAATGCGAATGCGGATACGAATACGGACAAGGAGACGGATACGAAGGTGAAATGAAACGATGGATGGACAAATTGTCGTTTATTATCTAAAATCTGAATATTCGCGTAACAACGATCGTTCGAAAGGACCAGCGAACGAATCGTGTTCGCGATACAACAATTTACTTCTCTAATTTGGCGTACTTTTTAATTAGAACTGTACCCTTTCGAAAACTTTGAACTCGGTAATCGTGGAGTAGATCGAGTAGATCGAGATCCTTTTTGATCGGATACAAAATTAAGAACTCTCTCTTGTTGCGTTTAACTCGGAAGAGTACAGCCGTTAATATTTGTCAACTCGTAGATTAGTACTGAAATCGTTTCGACGACGATCTACTTCGAACCGGGATATGTTTTACATTGCTATAATTTAATGCTTGTTCGGTGTTGCTACAAATACCAAATGCGTGTGGAGACACGAGAGCCGCGAGGAGAGCGGACTCGATACAAACTAGCGTATACGCGTATACATGTGTGCGTATATACGTGCATGCGCATGTGCCCGTACACGTACGCGGATACGCTGCGTAAACGATAAACTATGCGTACAGATACACCGAGAGACGTTCGACCATTATTGGATCGTTTCGATTTCGACGGGCCACGCGCGTGGCTGGTGTGCCATATTTCTGAAAAATATCGATTCCAGCTCCGGTTGTATGTAGATTTGTAGAATCTACGCGAGCGAGCGAGCGAGCGAGCGCGCGCGCGCGTGAAAGTACAAACAACCTTAACATTTTCTCCTGAAAATAGTCTCGAAATTTGCTGGCAGGTCTTCGAAATCGGATCGAAAGCCGGATCTGTGGGTACACGTATAAAAGTGTTGCAGCGTCTCGTACCTAGGACCGCCTCCGACTCTAAGTTACATGGTCCCTACCGGTCAGAAAATATTTTCAATCGTTAAACCAACGAATCGCCGATCGCGAGAGCGTTCTCTGTATACGCTTTACTTTCGTTCGAACCGAATTTTATATCCTACCCATAAAAATATGTATAATTTAAGGATAGAAAAAAAATATATCGAATTTTCTCCTTAAAACTGTAGCGCAAACTATAGAGTTTCGGTAGTTTCTAAAAATATCGCGTATGTACACATATACTTGGGCAATTTGTATCGACTATTCGTCTAAATACTACGATGAACTCGCTTCCGGTTCGAGAGCATCGTACTCGAGGTAGTGTAATTACGATTCAACTTTCCGTAGCAATCTTTCCGATTTTCGATACGCTTTTCGTACGCTTCCTAAACGCGTTCGTAGGTACGATCGAATCTTTTGGCTAGGTTTTCGACTAGGTTTTCGACTAGGTTTTCGAATCGGAACTCGACCTTTGACCATCTTCGCGGTCGATTCGACGCTCGTTTCGTAGAATCGAGTAACTCGCAGCCCGCGCGGTCGGAAAGAACGCTAAACGTTCGAGTCTTAATCAATAACAACGAGAGGATCGAGCGAACGATTCGACATTTCCTCATAGCGAGGGAAGAGAAGAGAAGAGAAGAGAAGAGAAGAGAAGAGAAGAGAAGAGAAGAGGAGAGAAGGGAAGGGAAGGGAAGGGAAAGGAAGGGAAGGGAAGGGAAGAGAAGAGACGACAAGAAAAAACACAAAGTTTCAGAAGGCTGTACTGGCCGTAGCCGTGGTACTCGAATGCACGCCGGACTCGGAATTTCGATGTCCGACGTGTGGCTATAGCTACGTGGACGCGGCGAGGCTTATCGAGGTCGACTCGGTCACGGCCGCGCGTGGTTTCACGTCCAACGAATCGTACAGCGGGAATTCGCAGCAGAAAAGAAATTTCAGAAATTGTGGCACTTCGACGTAGATCGACGGTGGTATCGGTATCAGCGGCGACGTCGACTGCTTGTAGTAACGGTACTCGGCGTTGCTGCAATTTAGAAAATGCGTCGTGGTCAGACGGCTTTCGTCGATATCGTCGATATCGTCGATATTGGAAGGGAATTTACTTACTCGCGATATCTCTCGTCCGAAGCCCTTTCCAGCAGAGGCATCCCGGACAGGAATAGAATAATGAACGTGGTGAAGATCGGAGAAGCTATCGCCACCCATTCCGCGCCTTCGATCACGTTCAACGATATCACGAAGATGCCCCACCAAACCATTATCTCTCCGAAGTAATTCGGATGTCTGGACATCCGCCAAAGACCTACGGCAAACAACGGAAACGCGCGTTCGAGAGCACCGTACGTACGCGTCGCATCGGTCGGACTTCGTTACGAGCCGTCGTTCGTTTACCGTCGTTGCACCATTTCCCATTGTTCACCGGATCCTGCTTGAAGGAGAACTTTTGCAAGTCCGCGTAAGTTTCGACCAATAAACCGGTGACGAACAAGCCCGTGCCCGCGCTGTCCAAAGATGTCATCGTTTTCGGAGCCGGGGGAATCTTGTGCCGCGGCGAATTCATCACGATCACGGGTAAACTGACGATGTACACCCATACCGCCTGCAATCGAACGATCGTGTTTCGGTTATCCTGCGTGTACCCGTATACCCGTATACTCGTGTATACCTGTACACGAGTACGGATACGTGGAACAGTTTTTCCCAATATCCGTAGCTTTTCGCTGTACGCGCTGGTACGCGCCGCGTTACAATTTCATCGTTGGGCAACGTTTATGGCAAATCCTCCCCGATCGTCCCTCGGAAGCAAAAATGGACGGAATTTGGGAAGAGGAGATTTAATCACCTGGAACGTCCAAAATACCGCGAAACGAATCACGTTGCTGCGACGATCTTCGAATCTTTTGTCGCGACCAATCTTGATGATACGGTAAAGCAGATAACAGGACAAACGGAGACCCCATAAACAAACGAACACGGTGACCATGAGTTGTCGGCTGTCGTAGGTCTACGGAGAAAAGCAACATTTATTGAGAAATCGGAAGGTGTCTGGCGCGCGAGTCTGGAACGAGTCCGCGATTTATACGCGCGCGCACGAGATCTATGTATAATCGGAGAGAGAGAGAGAGAGAGAGAGAGAGAGAGAGAGGAGTACCTTGCCCACTTGGCCGAGAAAAAACGTGAGAAGGGCGAGGATGATGAAGTTGGTGCCGCCGGCGAAATCCGTCAGTTTGTCCAGCTGGAAGGTCGTCGCGATCGTAAAGAAAATAATTTGCATACCGACGGTGACGATCGCGCTCACCGCGAAGTGGTCCTCGTCCAAAATATCGATCGCCATCGATCCACTTCGATCGTCCTCCCCTCCGTCGGACGAACTATTCTCGAATCTAAAATTTGCCAGCGATTCGTTATTTCTCTTCGCGCGTAATTCGCGACTCGTATATTCGTATTCCTTGCACGAACCGCTGCGATCTCGATCGGACCCGAGGAGATCGTTCGAACGCGCGTCGACGAGAAAACTCGACCGTACCTCGCGTACGCGCTACATCTTTTCGATTCCATTTTATCTCGTATCCGCGCCTCGAGCTTCCCTGCCTCGACATTTATCGTTTATCGATCGATCGTTCTCCGACGCGTACGTCGACGATGCTGCTCGTTCGGCATTTCCAACGCGTGTATTTATAGAAAATGGAAATCGAACCTCGGTCGATCGTCCACGACGAGCGCGTGAAATATCGAATATGAAACGCGAACAGGATTTTGGCACGTTGCACCTCGATTTCGAGCGCTGCTCGAGCAACACCTTTCTCGACTCTCTGTCGTCGCAATGCGGTTCGATTCGTTGTCGTTCTCGCGATCGAACAAAAGTCGACGAATACAACGTTTTACCTTTACTCGGAACTTTACGATTGCTCCGCGAAGTCTCTGCGACAACGTCCGTGTCGCGACAACCGACTCCGCGTACAACACTTTCGTCGACGCTGACGAGCGCCGAGGCGGTACGTACTCACCGTTCCTTGAATCTGACTATTCGAAACTTTTGCATCGCACGATCACTGAACAACGGTCCCGATTCGATTCGATTCGATTCGAGTCGATTCGAAAACGGTGGTCGACGACGCGAACGAACGTCTCGAGGTTTCCAGCGAAACGTACTCGAGGACGATGGCGAACGATCGGTCGAAAGCTGTACGACCGACGCGCGATCCGTGCGCCAGCCTCGCCTGCCGAAAACGAAAGCTGCATAAGAAGGGTTCGTCGGCGACGGTGTCAAACTTTGTCGAAGCCTCGCAACGAGATACGAACGAATCGATCGTCGCGTCTCGAGCCACCGTCGACACGGAACTTGCCAACATTCGTTGACTCGCGAAGGCGTCGAGCCTCGAACCGAACCGATGCGAGGGTGCATCGTCGACGGCGGTTGACAGGGGTTACCTCGAGAGAGAGGAGTCTCATCGTAGCGACGACCGAAACGACTGGAATCGGGCGGATACGCTCGACGTTCCGCTTCGACCCGGCGGCAGCCGACGGCAGGACTACGAAACTGTACGAAACGAAGGAATATTCAACGTCGATGTCGACCGTCGAGTCTAAAATGAGGAACCCATGATCACGTGCCTCCTGCGAGTCGACGGTCGAACTGTAAGCGCATCGAATACAGACGCGCACGGCACTCGCGGCGCGCACACCCTAACGCCATCCTCCCTCCCTCCCTCTCTCTCTCTCTCTCTCTCTCTCTCTCTCTCTCTCTCTCTCTCTCTCTCTCTCTTCCACTCGCCCCTTCCGGCTGGTACATATCCACGGCTGTGCTTCTCATGCTTGCACACCGAGCCAAACTCATCGATAGCAACGTTCGATACACCTTATATGAAACACCCTGTATTTATTAACGAATTTCTTACAACACCATCGACGACATCTATCGATGATCGATACGATTTAGAACCAAATAATTGCAACGAAATGTAATATAGTACCTTTGTAATGTGGTAAAAGCAACGTCGACGAATATATAAGAATAATTGTAACCGATCCACGTTTCAGAGGTTTGAAAATTCCCGCCAATAAATATGGGGACGCATAGGAGGACGCTGTACGAGCAACACTGCCCGTGGGATCGATACACAGTATGCGCGCGATGCGCGTATTGCCAAGAGGAATGAAATAATATTTATCCTCCAGATATTTTAGCGTCGGAGAATTTTCTGAGACAAAGGTGAAAACGAATAAAGATTATCCTTGATTTTCTTCCGCGCATCGTTCGTCGAACCAAGTTCTCCTTTCGCGTTTCTTATCGTTCGCGTGCTCCGTCTTGGACAAACTGTAGGATATAGAATAAATTCTAACGATTTTTCAGGATTAAAAGAATATTTCGAGGTTATAGAAATGTTTGGGAAATTCTCTCCTGCATCCGTATTGCACGGACAAGTTTGTTTATACGTACGAACATAAACATTTTTAAATAGCGCCATTTGCGGCGAGTGGTGCATTACTTCTGGTAAGATTCTGGAACAGAGTTGGAAACGATTGGGAGCGTAGGAACGATAGAACTAGGTCCACGGTAGGTTCGGAACAGTCCAGAGACCCTCCGATAAGAGTCGATATACGTACGTATACGTACATGCGTATATATGTAGTACGACGCGTCTGTGTCGCCATTTTGTTTAGTTACGTTCGCTGCAATCGCACGTGGACGACGCATACGCTCGTATATTTCGTGGACCGTGCTGAAAAATTAGGTCCAAGCTTTATCCTTGTTTCGTGACTCTTATCGGAGGGGGTCTTTACAGTGGGAGGTCCACGATACGTCAAACCGCGCGTAGCGGCCGAATGCCCAAACTGTTGGATAAATTACCGACTGCGGATAATTCTTAGATCGTCGAATGGTAAATTTCTAGAATAGTTTCAGCGTTTTGCCACTAGGTATGTGCGAAAGATAAGAAATTTCATACATAGATATGTATATAAAATGCGATACGATAGAAATTCGTGTTTAAAAAGTTCACGCTACTTCACCAACTAAATGTCGTTGTAAAAAATCATTTACCGCGTGTCTACGGGCTCGCAATTTTCACTCTATTCTCATCGAATTTTCAATCTTAGTGAAAACGATAAGAATCGATCGTATAAAATTCATTGTATTATTTATCTCATCGCTTTTTTTTAATCGATTTCAAAGTCATATATTGGAATATAGTACATTATATATCGTTAATAGTAATATTACAAATAATAACGAGTACAACTTATCCCGATCGTATACTATACATACATAGAATTATTTCTTAGATTCCTCCTTACAAACTTTACAAAATTCGGTTTAACGCAAAGTAAATGTGATTCCGGTTCGGCTGTTAGGGATCGTACGTTAAATTTTACGTTCGATCTGTACGAGATCCGTCACATGGAAATGTAACATACGAAGAATGATGCTTGAAACGTGTTTCGTTTTAGATTTTAAGATCTGGTGTATTTTCCCCAGATATGAAGCATAAATACGGACGCGATGAAGAGAAGAGACATCACGAGAACGGGCACCGGTCCTCTGTAAAAACATCGGTGATTTAAGACAGAAATCGAAACGATACGATGCGTACGAACAGGATGATTCGCGCAGCAATCGAGACAAGGTACTACGATACGAGGGAAATATAATTTACCAAATATTTTTTTTATTTCGAAACGATAGGATATACTTACACTTTGATACCGGGTGAATCGTCCGTGTAAAACCTCCACATACCACCGGAATCGGCGCCCGGATTTCTGCTCCTGGTCGCGGTACTCGTTGTCGTCTTTCTTTGCCTAACGGTGCCACTACCACCTGTTCTAGGTGCTATAGCTTTACTGGGCGAACGACCAGCGAGTCCAACGGAAGTTGAGCTGGGGCCTGGAGGCTTCGGAAAACGAGAACCGAACACGACACCATATACGTATCGATTTCCAACATATTCGTCAAATTCGAAACAATTGCTCGCATATCTCACTCACCATTTTATCGAATTCTTCTTTCCTTTAGCTCGCGAACAAACCCCAACTATCGAGATCCGTTTCAATTGCAGCACACTTTGGGGGCTTGTTTCTGTGTTCGCGTTTCTCTCTCTCTCTCTCTCTCTCTCTCACTTCGGTTTCCAAATAATATCGTAGAAACTTACAAAAACGGATCTACCTGTGACAAGTCACGCAGCTAACGCAAACGTATCCTTCGCCCGTGCTCCTCTGTTCTTCAGCCTCCTGCCCTGTTGTCACCGAATAGCGATTACCGTCCACCGTCAGCGTTCATAAACCGTAAACGTTTGCTGGTGATGGTACCATGAAGTGGACCAGGAAAGGAATCGACGTGTCACGAATACCATCCACGTGGTGCGCTGTAGACACGTCATCGTATGCAGTTAAATTCACTGTGATGCTACGATAAATTGTTTTAAAGTCACGTTCTCATGTCGATGCGTGTCGATGCGCGTCTCGGCTCTACTATGCATCGGAAACAAATTCTTATCGTTCTCTTTCACCGTAATATCTAAAATACTTCATGCTTGACCTTAGGTCTTAGACCGTATAGAATACGTACATACGATGTGTGCACATACATGTACGTAACTGGATGCGATCTGCTTCCTACTTTCACCAACAGAGTAAGGTTCCAGCTTGGATAAGCACTCGCAGAACTCGTATCGGTGGTACGTATGCGCATATACGAATCGTACGAAATTACCGATACGTATTATACGAATGCACATACCTATCTAGTACATATATACGCATACCGGTAGTTTTCGGTTTTGTATCTTCGTAACCTCTATGGAAACCGAAATACCACTATAATGTCATACCCCTGTATTTACTTATGTTGATCGGTCATTTTTACGGTCTTCTCATTTCATTACAATTTTCAAGATATTATTAGTCGAGGATTTGAAACTTGTATGTATAGCGAAACTGATATATGTATGCATGTTGTATGCATGTTTACGTATTAGGTGATACAATTTGGATACATGTAGGATCCGATCGAGCGTTGTGTACTCGTATGTTTTATGTTGTACATATGTATGGAATCGTGCCTACCGTATCAGTATCAGTATCAGTATCAGCACGTTGTTATGCATACCGTATTTTAACAAACTATATACTTATTACCGCTGACATCTCCGTTTGATGTTATGTTACCATAATTTTTATTGAAACGTAAACATTTCCCCTTTCGTTTCAGTAGTCATTTATATCTGTAAGAGATACGTGACATAACAATGTTAAAAAGAATATTAATGTTCCATGCGTTGAAAAATGCGGTTGTTTTATCTCGAGGTAAGTAACCTTTCGCCGGTTTTTGTTATTTGTCAGTCAAATTGTCGGTCAAATAGCGTTTATTGTCATACAAGTATTCGAGAACTACATAAAAATACGATCGAAGAAACGAAGAAAAGATTTTACACAGGTACCACTTCGTCGACGGCAAAGATTATATTTCGAGGTATGTCACAAGTCGGTATCGAAATCGATAGAAAATGGGATTTGTTCGGTGCAGTTTGTTTAGAACGCCACCCAATAATTACAAAACCGATGGAAGATGTAGAAGCACGATATCAAGAGATGTTAAAACAGATAGAATTAGAAAATAGTTTAATATCGGATTTTGAAATCCAAATGAAACAAGAACTAAAGCATGAATGGAAAATTGGATCTACGGATGAAAGCAAAGAGAAAATTAAAACTCAAACTTTACAAGATATCAGAGACTCTTACAAAGAAGAATTAATGAAATTTCAGTTTGCATCGCGAACAAATGGTATGGTAAATTTAATTTTTCTTCAATTAATTTCTTCAAGCGTTAATTCCTTAAATTATCGAAGCCGAAGAAGATGATCAAGTAACATCGTTGAATCGTAAATTGGACAAAACGTTGGTACTATTGGTAAATGAACGGATAGGGACCGATAATTTCTGGATTCCACCGCAAACCGTACATAAATGTACAGAAACTATGATAGAGGCAAGGCTTGTTATATATAGTTTACTTTCATAGCATTTTTGTAACAAATTCATACATCGATCTTCTAATCATTTATTTTCTTTTTTCTTAGACCGCGCGAAGAACCGTGGAAGAATTTTGTGGTAATAATATAGGAGTACAATTTTATGGTAACGCACCGATTGGCTTTTATACGTACAAATATCCGAAACAACTCGAGGGAAAGGATGGAGCAAAAATATTCTACTTCCTAGCAAAATATATAAACGGAGATATTTCTTCCAAATTACAACACTGTTGGTTAGATAGGGAAGAACTAGAAAAAATTGTCCATCCTAGACTTTATAGAAGCTTGTCTCAATTTTTGCTGCCAGAATAATTTGTTAAGGTCGGCTCAAATACTACAAAAGATTCAATTTTATTGTACCGGTACATGTAGCTACATAAATAAAAAGTATGAAATTTTTCAGCCTCTATATATTTCTTCGACCGAGACAAATTAGTTAGCAGAATTTTCTGTGTTCGCACGGATACGCGTTTGCTTGAATCTTCAAATTTCTGGAACAGAAGTTTCAAATAGCTATTGCAAATTTATCCATGTTTTCGTTGTACAAGATTATTCATAAAAACAAATACATAATATGTATGTACACATCTGAACAGCTTCGAAAATACAAATGCGATAAAGTGCATCGTAGAAGAAATATGTGGTAGGTAAAACATCAAAATCGACCGCATCTTCTCCTTCCGGTGTACTTTGAATCTTCCGGAACGTTCCTTCCCTGTCTTCGTCGCCTTTCCTTTTTCTCGGCGATCCAATCTCTGCTCTTTTTTAATGGTTTACCTCTGGCTTTCTTGATCTGTTCTCTAAAAAATATGAGGAGAACATTAATATTCTGCTTAAAATCATTAAAAGTTTATTATAGATTTTGGAAATTAATGCAAACATTAACCTTCTGGCTGCATAAGATATAACGGTATCGGCATCATTTACACCTAAAGCTTGTGGAAGCGCGACGGGTCCACCGGTCATTAAAACTAGAAAGAATTTTTTTGCTTTGGTGCTGTTGGGAAAGTCGACGACCACACCGCCATAGAAACCTGCTTTTGTAGCTTGCGTGGTAACTAATTCGATTTGTTCGTTGTTTTCAGGGTAAAATTGAAATACAGCTCTGGCAGACCTCGAAAGGCACGAGTACAACGTGGAAAAAAATTGAAATATACGCTTCGATGGTCGATGCGATTTTTTATCAGCATTGCATAACCATTGTAAAGCAGAGATACTGATCGCTCCGTCGAAACATCCTGGTTTAAATGGCATTCCCTGTCCCATATCTCCTATAATTAAATCACCCTCCACTTCTCTTTCCAATGCTACGCCTGTCGATATGTAATACCAAAAGACAGTTAAACAAGACAAGACGGTCAAAAAATATAACAGATACAAACAAATTAAAATATGTTTGACAAGTAGATACTAACCTAACATTGCTGTGGATATGTCAATTCCGACCCATGTATGTCCATGTTCCTCGATAACACTACCGCTTATACCTGAACCGCATCCAATATCAAGAAGTAAGAAACTTATGTTTTCCGGCAATAAAAGTAGCTCTATAGCACGTTTGCACATTTGCTCTTGAATTTCTATCATTCGAGAACTGTACGATTATAAATACATATTAATTGGCATCTACATCTATTAAAGGAAAGTATAAGAAATTAACAAGCACGAATAAATAAATGATTTACCTTTGTGTGTACTTGCGAGCTTCGGATTCATTGTAGAACTATGAAAAGAATTATACTGTATCGAAGAGTTACAAAATAATGAATACAGAATTCTTACCACATCGGGAGGAGCCAAATGTTCTGGACGTCGTGACATTCTATTTTCTCTCCTCGACTCCGCTGTCAACTCGTTTTCTTCGCTTCACGAGAAACGAGAAATTTAACGCACTAAAAACTATCGCATACCGCACACGTGGTTTTGTTATTTCCCCCGTTTTGACCATAGATCATACTTACAGAAATGAAACTTGTGCATTTTTCGGTAACCATCTGTGTATGCGATCTAACATACATAAATCGATTTAAACTTATAATTTTGGCATTGCAATTACACTCCACTTACAATAAAGCATATTCTTCCAAGCATAGTTTAAGTCATGAAATGAAAAGTATTAAGATATTCTTTTGTTCGTGTATCGATGATTTTTGCCGCTTTTACGACAATCCTAATTGTATACAACTTGTAACTATGTATGTATGTACATGTTAAATGGCTGACACAGCACGGACATGGTACGCATGGCTTGGACAGTGGGCAGACCGATGCCGATACACATGTCTACACAATTAAATCGTATTATATACAATTAATAAAAATAATTTCATTTTATTGTTGTAATTTAAGATTATATTATATAGGTAATAACATAATTAATCTTAACACAAAATATACAGTAAACCGGCAAAAACTATTTTATTTTCTAACCAATAAGTTTAAATATATAATTTAAGCGTAACGTGAATGCAATAAATAATTTTTCTCTAAGCATTCGCGTATTTGTATTTTTATTATTTACAGCCACTAAAATCACTTTTAGATCAACTTTTAGGCTCAAGTTGCACGATCGATAACAGTTGATAAAACCAGTTTGTTGGGTGCGACCGGTAATTTTATAGAGGAATGTTACATTATGAGAATTACAAGAAATAACATTCTCAGAAATGACTTGTAGTTGGACCTCGTGAGTAAATAGTATATTTCCAAAATCCGATCATTGACTTTTCGTTCTTATCAGTTTGTCTCCTGATGCATGGACAACCTCGTTTCACCATATTCAAAACAAATCCTACATTACATTATTTACAAAAAAAAAAAGAAGAATTTAATGTGTGATACCTGCGCTACAAATGATAATTATTATAAAATGATATCAGTCAGATGTTTGTACCTTCTATACGCACATTTCTGATTTATTCGAAAATTTTCCCAGAAATTTGTAAGATTTATCATTCATTTGTTTAATAGTACTAAAGTAAGTTCCTTAAATTACACTGTACTTATGCTACTTCGGAAAGAATATTTAGATAAAATTACATGTATAAATGTGTTTAATCACATTATTCGAATATAGGAAATTATACGAAGTATACTTAATTCATAAACCTGTAATGAAAATTTGATAATACAGTGAGAAATTACATAAAATGGTTCGAAACGATACATATGTATATAAGTTGCTCTGAAATTTTAGCCTGTTGCTAGTTTCTATTATACAATGTACATATACAGAGACTAATCGCATGCAACTTTTCTAAATTTAATAAAATAACACGAATGCTAGTTATTAGAAATTGGATATAAAAAAAAACATGCGTTTGTATCGTATGGATATTTCTTAATAAAATAAAAGCTTTATACAAAAAAGTTGCTTTTCATTCTGTACCATGGGGTATTGCATTTAAGATATATAAGAGACTTTTGAACAACATCTTTGTAATACGATGCATCGTTGGCGATGTTCGAAGAATTATTCATTACCGTACAAACAGTAAGAATAGTAACAAGAAAAATAAGTTTGTGTACTTGTAATCTTAGCAATAGCAACAGTTATGGTGCTGGTATAGCGGTAATAACAACAACAACAACAGGATATCGATAGTAGGTTTATCGGCGATGAGAATAAGAACAATGGAAAAAACAGAAAGATAATAATGAATTAGAGAAGCGAAAGGAAGAAAATTAGCGATGTTATATAGCTATACAGCGGCGAAAGCAACAGCAAATCAAGGAAGATAATTAGAAGATAAAGAGTAGCACACAGCTAGCAAGAGTAGAAACAGTAGCGAATAACGCTATCGTTGCTACACGTGTTAACGTCGTTAACGGCAGCTGCGATAACAAATAGGGGAAGAGAAGAGGAAGATGATAATTATGACGACTATAAGAGCTATGGATTACGATGATGACAACGACAACAAAGACGACAAGAAAATATGATACACTATTTCTACAATTCCAACGTTATCGTGTTACTTTCGAAACACATGTTAATCCATCGTTTTTATAAATTCGATCGCAGAACAAAATTGCGTCCACCAATACTGTTCTTCTCCTTCTAGTCGGTTTCCGTAGAAGCTGTCCACGTACTGTATGGTTGAAAGCAACGAGGGCGGATTAGTCTGAAAAAGGTGGAGAGAGAGAGAGAGAAGAGGAGAATCGTTTGAACTTGTGTGTAACGACTGTGTATATGATATCTAACACGTATTACTTACCTTTATGATAACGTACACCAGAACTGGAATAAGATCGTCGGCTGCGGGTACTCCTCTTTCGGTTGCCATTGAAAGTAAGTTCATAATAGTGGTGGCACACCGAAAGACACACTGCAGTTTGTCTCTAGGAGTTTTGTAGGCCGATATCACGGCTAGTTCCGCTTGAGCCCACGGCCAGGGACATTCGTAATGATATATTTTTGGAATACGTAAATCTTTATGATTGGGAGTGACAAGCTTGGACAATTTTTTGATGTGATCGTGAAGCAATTGATCTCTGTAAACGTCCCCGTCTCCGTTGGGATAAAGAGCGTTATGATAGACGCGCGCCATCACGGTTCTTTCCACAACAACTCTAGCCAATACCAATTGATTTTCACTCGCGCCTACGAACATTAGATTATATTTGATTACGATGCGTTATGCTTACGCATGCATTACGCGTATTCCCGAATGCAGCCACCACTTACATTGCCATATCGGATCGTTGTCCATCTTTGCGTGAACGTCTCCCAGAAAATTATCTACCAAATCTTGTTTTTCATCGGCCAGTGTAAGCTTTTTGAATTCATCGCAAAACCGTGAGAGGAGCGACTCTCGTTTTTCCAAGAAGACCCGTACACAAACGGATACGAGATGATTGTTAACAGCATCGCGATCACACTTTACCCTAACGCACAATCTTTGTGCGATCAGAAAATTAAAATATAAACGACATACAAGATTTGTTCGAGGCGTTGCTATCGCTACCTGTTTGCTCGACACGATATTATGTCACAATACCTGTCCAGATGGGCCACGGTAGAGAGTAAACCTTGTCGACATCTGATCAAGTATGCGATGTAAGGTGATCGTTTTTGATACTCTTCCCGTAAAGATTTAAATAGTTTTCTACATCCGTCGTCGTTGAACAAACGTACGCAGCGCAGCGTTTCATGTAAATGAGCAATCAACGCTCTATCTTGTAAATTAATAGCCTCTGCTAGCTGTAACTGCAAGAAAGCAACCAACTCGTTTTCTTTCCGCGACCAGGCATTTCGCTGGAACAAAATGGAATCGTACAATTATCGAGTCGTGCCACGCATCGAACTTGAAGAATAGTAGAGAATTCTACGCAGCACAAGATACCTCGGACGTAGCAGTCCAGGGAATATGCTGTAAGTCGGCTGTACTAAGTACCATGCGTAACTTTCTCTTTGCATCGGCAAACGCGTACGAGAGTTCTACGTTATTTGGGTCTATGAGCAACCTTTCGTCCTCGGTCGTTTCCTTCGTACGCGATTGATTACTTTCGATCGATGCTGTGTCGCTCGCCACGCTCGGCTTTCTCCTGTATTTCGCCAAAATATCATCCGTGCTATCTAGAAAGTTTTGCAAATACATCACACTTCGACGATTATTTTCTTCTTATTCCGGCTTGTTTCCTTTCTCTCTCTCTCTCCATCGTTCTCTATTTGAAAAAAGGAAGACGATAGTTACCGATGGTCACATTACACGACGATGTCACGTCCTCCGACATTATTCTTCGCAATCTGTGTCGGCCTACGTCGACACCATCTCCGCCAGCTTCTCGGTCGTAACATCTGCTAATAGCGTCGTCGGTCCCACGAATCGCTTTACCTCGCCGATTCCTCAGAGACATTTTCAATTTACCGAAAAAGCTTCTTTTGTTCTTTTGATCGTCGTCCAAGAGTTCTTTGTCCCCACGTTCCGCTGTCATGTCGAAACTGATACTTTTTGGAATCGCGCCGCTGGACATAATGGGTTTCGGGGAGTCACCGGTACTAGTGGCATCGATCAGTTCGCAGTTCCCGTTAACCAACGATCCTCCCGTCGACAACGGCAACACCGAATTTGTAGTTTTCGCACGGGGTTCGGAGCTAGAACTGCTACTGTTGGACGTCAAGCTGCCCGTGCTTAGGCCAACTATATTTTCCGAGCCGGATCTTTCGTTAACGGTAATGCCGTTGCCACTGCCGCCAATGTCACAGCCATTGCCACCGCCATCGTCGTCGACGCTACCACCACCGCCACCGCCACCGTCATCGCCATCGCCATCACAATCGCCATCGCCATCGCCATCGCCATCGCCATCGCCATCGCCATCGCCATCGCCATCGCCA